AAATTGTTGAAATATACCCAAATAATATCTCTCACACACACACACAAATCGTTGAATGGCTCTTTGGCTCCGAAAGTGCTGGCTGCTGCTGCTGCTGTTGCTGTTGCTTTTGTGTGTGCAATGAAAATGAAAACTTGTGTGTGAATCACTTTAATTGTTTCCCTGGCATATCCAAGAGTGCATGCAACGCAGTCTATTGCTCTGTTTCTCTATTTCTCTTGCTCTGCTGTGTTGCATTAAAAAGTTGCACTCGTTTCAGGCTATTTCATGCAGCAGACTCTCCTTTAGTGACCGTTCCATTCACACGAATTTTTGCAATGTGTGTGTGTGTGCTTCTTAATTGTTTAATTTTTAAGCTGAATTTAAGCATTTGTTGCACACTTTTGGAGCTTCAGCTGCTGGCTAGGGGAGGGGTCGAAGGGGCCGGAGACTGTCGACTAATGAAGCGAGCGACTTGTGGTTCGTCATTGTCCAATGTTTACGACAAGCTGAGAAGCTGGTTAGATATCCGCTTGCTCTGCCAGCGCTGAGGGCAGGAAACTTTGATGCTGCGAGACCACAAAAAATTATTTAATTTAATTTACGCATGTGCCATAAAGTGGTGTAGAAGCCAAACCTCACTGCATCCCGGAGCTAACAAAATGTCTGTTTCTGATGCGCTGAAAGTTGCATGCAAACTGTCGCCTGTGGGCAAAGCTTTAAGAACAAATTTAAATACTCCTTTGTCTGCTGCTTAAACTGCTTTCATCTGTGGTGCTATTCCCTGTTGCCTGCTCCCTGCTCTTAAACATAGTTTCTACATTTTATTTTTCATTATGAATATTATGTTGTTGCTTTTGGTTTGCTGGGCGGGGGCTTTGACATGGGTAAACATTTGGCCAAGTCAAAAATTTGCTGGAGTTTAAAGTTCAATGTGGGCCGTGCCCCCCCAACCCCTCACATGCCCTGAGAAAACCCTTTTTATTTGCAACGCCCCTGCCCCGTCCCGTCTTGGCCAGGCATGGAAGGAAGACACAGCGACTGGCCTTCTTTGCCATTTCCTTTACTCCTTTTTAGTGGTTTTTTCTGTTTTGTTTTTGTGTGTGTTGGCTGGAACTGTGCCTTTGCCTCGCTTTCACTTTATTGCCCTCGCCTGTGAGCCATATATTGCATTTATCTAAGCCAGGCCAACAGCCAGGCAGGCAGGCAGGCAGGCAGGCACCCACCCACCCAACTGCTGACTCCCAGCCACCTTCTACTCGCTGGAAACACTCATATGTAATGCATTTTTAAATTTGCATGTGCTCCACCTGTCCCCCCACCCCTCCAGCAAACTCCATTGCAGGCCCGTCGTAACACAGCGCCTTCAACAATGGCAGCTGTTAGTGTCTAACTAGTTAGTTAGTGCCACATTGAAGATGGTTGCCGCACGCGACTGGCCTGCCAAACGGTGGACTGCTACCACTCCGGGCACACGACGTCACACGATCCCCGTGCAAATCCACTGGATAGCAGGATGCTACATGGCCACATGGCCACATGCCCTCACATCCTCCACTCTCCATTCTCCATCCATAATGAGCAGCATCCTCGTGGTGCTGCTGATACTCCATCGTCTTCTGCTGGGGTACAGCACTCGGGTTCAGCGGGGGGAAAACTCTTTCGGGAAAGCGACATTATGCATTTTAAAAAGAGAGACATAGCGCTGGAAGGGGGGGAGACAGGATGGAGGAACCTTTTGCCTTTGCCTTTGTCTGCTGCTTTATGCATCTGCTGTCAGTTGCATCCTTTTTATGTGTGTGTGTGTGTGTGTGTGTGAGTTCATTGCACTGCGCTCAAGCAGCAGGAGAAAGCTTTTCATTCATTCTTTATTTATTTTTTTTTGCTATTTTATTGCATACTTTTTGGGCAGAAATATCCCAAAACAGAAAGTTTCCTTCAACTTGCCGAGTGTAAGTAAACCCATTTAACTGCTTGTTAACGTTTAAGCCAAGGTTTCTTGCGCCCCTTCTACTAATTTATCTGCAATTTGCACTTAATCGTTTGATCTTTGACTGCTTTTCTTGCAGTGTGGTTTGCCCTGGGGTTGGGTTGGTTTTCTGTTGTTGTTGTTGTTGCCAGAGCGCTGGCATTTGTTACAGGCAGACGGGTGGCTGGGGCAGGGGCAGGGGCGGAGCGGAGCGGAGAGCAACAACATTGGACTTTGACTTTAACGCTGTTGCATTTTACTAGGTCAAAAGCAACGTCACCGCGTGGCAAAGGTTGTTTTAACCCTCACTCTCTCGCTCTCACTTACTCTCTCCTCCGTAGCCATCCTTTTCTCTGCCTTCTTTGGCCATCTCTTTCGCTCGTTATGCATGTGTTTTTGTGTGGAGTCAAACATAAATATGGTGCAAAGGTGAAACTGTTGCTGGCAAGTGCCTGCTCCAGCTACGGTTACTGGCTGCCGGCTCCTGCCTGCTGGCTCCTTGCTAACTGCCAGGCATAAATCGGTGTCTATGTGTGTGTGTGTGTGTGCATATAGCGTGCTAAATTTCATGCACACACACAGACACGGGTGGCATGTGGCAAGTGGCAACCAAATAGCTAACTATTTCTAATTGGAGGTCGTTGCGGTGCTTGTCTTCGCTGCTCTGGCTCTGGCGCTGCTGCCCCCTACCCAGCCCCCACGACTTGTTGCCTGCCCAACCACCCCCAATCCCACGTAATCCCAGCGTCAAGACTGCAATTTTCAAAAGCAAACTAAAGGAATTTGGCATGACTGACGAGCGCTGGGGGGGGAGAGGGAGAGAGAGAGTTTTCCGTTAAGCCCAGTCCTTTTGTAGTCCTTCAGCAGCAGTTTTGTTGAGAGTTTAATATGGTGCTTCGATAGATATATGTACATACATACATACACACATACATATGATGGTTTTTTTGTACACTGTTCTTTCGCCTTTTTTCCTGACAAAAGGGGCAAATTAATGCAATTCAATTACCACCGAAAAAAACCGTTACAATTGTTGTAAATAAACCTACTGCTTATTATGGTACATTTAACCAATTAAATTAATAATTAATACTGAAATTTCATAATTTCCGCAAACAAATGTTAAATTAAATGAAGAAAAAAACTCAAAAAATCACTCATTGGCTTTGATAAAAGTTCTGCCACGAAGTCTCTCAACTAACTTTAAGCCAGAAAACTCCAGAAAATTGGCTCAATTTGGGCTAAGGGTAAAAGGGCTAACTGCCGTTACTTTTAGCACTTTTATCAGCCCAGAAGTACGTCAGCTGCAGCCGCGGACTAAAAACAATAAAACAGAAAAAATTTGCAAAATTAAACTTTAAAAAATGAACACTCAAAGTTTAATATTTAAATGCACCCTTTTTGTGTTCTTTGAATTTTGCTACCAAGCCGCAAATGTGAGTGTAAGTGGAGTTTTCAGTTGTATGCATTCAAAAGACTGGCAGCCCCACATGTACGGCGCAGGTCATAGTTCATAGTTTTTGCGGGGGAGCGGAGTAGCTCTCTGGGAACCCCCCCAAAAACTATGAATTAAGAACCAGTCAGCTGAATGCAAAGACTCCCTTGGATGTGTCAGATTTACCTATTTTTGCCAGAGCTAATGTACAGCTTGGGCTTGGAGTAGACCCGAATCTCCTCATCCACGATGGCCAGCTCCTTGTCGATTTCCGCCTTGCGTTTGCGCACCCACAGACTCTGCGAGGTGATGGGCATGTGATTTAACTCGCTGATGAGCCCATCATAGCGCTGCTGTGCGCTGTTCAATTCGACAACACGTGCCTGTTCCGGATCACTGGCATCCTTCTCCACAATCCGAGGATGACTGCTGTCGCGTGCTGTTTGAAACACAAAGCTTGATGAGCCATCGAGACGTGGGGGGAACACGTAGTATTTACTCACAGTATTCCATTTCCTGATCATCATTCATGTTGTGGGGACTCTGCTGTTGCTGTCCGCCATATGTGCCCAGTGACTGTAGATCCTCTTCTTCGCTATAATCATACCGATTGGATCTTTGGTAGATGCGGACTCGCGCTCACCCATCCCGGATGCACCATCAAAACTGCATCTAAAAGAGCAAAAATAATGCCACATTCAGACATCTATTACTGACTGGACTTACTGTTTTAGGGCATTTGTGAGGTAGAGTTCATCGCTGATGTCCACCGTCTGTGTGGCAATGGTTGAGCAGCTGCGCTGTGTGCCACAAGAATTGGAGCTTTCCGACGACTGTGCTGCTACCTCCGAAGGGTCAATACGTTGGCCAGACTCCGCGGCGCCCACTACCAATGGGTGATGCGAACACGACTTCAAACGGTTGCGCGTCAGACTGCTTTCGCGGGTGTTTTGTGTGGACACCGATACAGGGGTCTGGGGTCGGTTGGCTGCTTTCGATTCTCTTGCCTCGGAGTCCACGCGCTGCATGGCTGGCATCCATTTCGGGACGCACTGGCTCCCTGGCTGCCAGCTTCTTAGTTGTAGATTTCTCCAGCGAGCGCAAGCTCTTTTTATTTTCGTCGAGAAAGTTGCGGCTCGGTGGAGAACGCGGCACTGGAAAAATTCCATTCATCCTGGACGTAGGGCGTGACATGGTACCGACGACTGTTTGAGTTTTAGTACCGCGAACTAAACTGCGGAAATATTTGTTGTTTAAGCAAATAAAAAATGTTTTGTTTGCAGCTATTCGAACTGCGTCGTTGAATGTTGAATGTAAGTGAATGAATGATGCTCGAAGTGTGAACGAATATCAATGGCACCCTTTGGTTTAGTTTTTGTTACTTTGTGACTGAATATAAAATATAATTTAAATATATTATAAAATAAAATAATATAAAGCTATTTAATTAATATGCAAAATCTTTGTAAAATGTATAAATTAATTTATTTAATGCCACTCATTAATTTTTGGTATTTTCTGGCTGATTGGCAAGCCGAAATATTAAATTAAATATGTTAACAGATAACAGATAATTGTATTTAGCTTTATTCATTATTAGATTTGTTGATTTCCTAGGTTAAATGCCCAGAGACTGGTCAGAAAATGAGGGAGAAAATATGCGCCAATCCTTTGCAGTTATTATTCTATTGAAATCCATGTGAATCCAGCCTTGCAACAGCTGCATCTTGGCACTCCCAAACTCGAACCCGTTGCAAAAGTGGAGTGCATAATTAGGATGCTGTTCCGCCCACGGGATATGCAGGACAAACCGTCTCCATTATTGTATGCTAAATTTATTGCTACTTAAGTAATTTAACCAATTAAATTAATAATTAATACTGAAATTTCATCAAATTTCCGCAAACAAATGTTAAATTAAATGAAGAAAAAAACTCAAAAAATCACTCATTAGCGTTGATAAAAGTTCTGCCACGAAGTCTCTCAACTAACTTTAAGCCAGAAAACTCCAGAAAATTGGCTCAATTTGGGCTAAGGGTAAAAGGGCTAACTGCCGTTACTTTTAGCACTTTTATCAGCCCAGAAGTACGTCAGCTGCAGCCGCGGACTAAAAACAATAAAGCAGAAAAGATTTTAAAAGTCAACTTTTAGAAAATGAACACTCAAAGTTTAATATCTAAATACAATTTTTTTTGTGCTCTTGAATTTTGCCAACCGAATGTGATGTGTAAGTGAGTTTTCAGTTGTATGCATTCAAAGGACTGGCAGTCCCACATGTACGGCGAAGGTCATAGTTCATAGTTTTTGGGGGGGGCGGAGTAGCTCTCTGGGAACCCCCCCAAAAACTATGAACTAAGAATCAGTCAGCTGAATGCAGACTCCTTTGGATGTGTCAGATTTACTTATTTTTGCTAGAGTTAATGTACAGCTTGGGCTTGGAGTAGATCCGAATCTCCTCATCCACGATGGCCAGCTCCTTTTCAATTTCTGCCTTGCGGTTGCGCACCCACAGACTCTGCGAAGTTAAGGGGATGTGATTTAACTCGCTGATGAGCCCATCACAGCGCCGCTGTGCGCTGTTCAATTCGCCAACACGTGCATGTTCCGGATCACTTGCATCCTTGTCCAGAGAGCGAGGATGACTGTTGTCGCGTGCTGTTTGAAACACAAAGCTTGATGAGCCATCGAGACGTGGGGGGAACACGTAGATTGTACTCACAGTATTCAATTTCCTGATCATCCTTCATGTTGTGGGGACTCTGCTGTTGCTGTCTGCCATATGTGCCAAGTGACTGTAGATCCTCTTCTTCGCTATAATCATACCGATTGGATCTTTGGTAGGTACTTGCGGACTCACGCTCACCCATCCCGGATGCACCATCAAAACTGCATCTAAAAGAGCAAAAATAATGCCACATTCAGACATCTAGTACTGTCTGGACTTACTTTTCTAGGGAATTTGTGAGGTAGAGCTCATCGCTGATGTCCTCCGTCTGTGTGGCAATGGTTGAGCAGCTGCGCTGTGTGCCACAAGAATTGGAGCTTTCCGACGACTGTGCTGCTACCTCCGAAGGGTCAATACGTTGGCCAGACTCCGCGGCGCCCACTACCAATGGGTGATGCGAACACGACTTCAAACGGTTGCGCGTCAGACTGCTTTCGCGGGTGTTTTGTGTGGACACCGATACAGGGGTCTGGGGTCGGTTGGCTGCTTTCGATTCTCTTGCCTCGGAGTCCACGCGCTGCATGGCTGGCATCCATTCGGGACGCACTGGCTCCCTGGCTGCCAGCTTCTTAGTTGTAGATTTCTCCAGCGAGCGCAAGCTCTTTTTATATTTCGTCGAGAAAGTTGCGGCTCGGTTGAGGTCGCGGCACTGGAAAAATTCCATTCATCCTGGACGTAGGGCGTGACATGATACCGACGACCGTTTGAGTACCGCGAACTACACTGCGGAAATATTTTGTAGTTTTAGCAAATAAAAAATGTTTTGTTTGCAGCTATTCGAACTGCGTCGTTGAATGTTGAATGTAAGTGAATGAATGATGCTCGAAGTGTGAACGAATATCAATGGCACCCTTTGGTTTAGTTTTTGTTACTTTGTGACTGAATATAAAATATAATTTAAATATATTATAAAATAAAATAATATAAAGCTATTTAATTAATATGCAAAATCTTTGTAAAATGTATAAATTAATTTATTTAATGCCACTCATTAATTTTTGGTATTTTCTGGCTGATTGGCAAGCCGAAATATTAAATTAAATATGTTAACAGATAACAGATAATTGTATTTAGCTTTATTCATTATTAGATTTGTTGATTTCCTAGGTTAAATGCCCAGAGACTGGTCAGAAAATGAGGGAGAAAATATGCGCCAATCCTTTGCAGTTAGTTATTCTATTGAAATCCATGTGAATCCAGCCTTGCAACAGCTGCATCTTGGATCCAAACTCGAACCCGTTGCAAAAGTGGAGTGCATAATTAGGATGCTGTTCCGCCCACGGGATATGCAGGACAAACCGTCTCCATTATTGTATGCTAAATTTATTGCTACTTAAGTAATTTAACCAATTAAATTAATAATTAATACTGAAATTTCATCAAATTTCCGCAAACAAATGTTAAATTAAATGAAGGAAAAAACTAAAAAAATCACTCATTAGCGTTGATAAAAGTTCTGCCACGAAGTCTCTCAACTAACTTTAAGCCAGAAAACTCCAGAAAATTGGCTCAATTTGGGCTAAGGGTAAAAGGGCTAACTGCCGTTACTTTTAGCACTTTTATCAGCCCAGAAGTACGTCAGCTGCAGCCGCGGACTAAAAACAATAAAGCAGAAAAGATTTTAAAAGTCAACTTTTAGAAAATGAACACTCAAAGTTTAATATTTAAATACAATTTTTTTTGTTCTCTTGAATTTTGCCAACCGAATGTGATGTTTAAGTGAGTTTTCAGTTGTATGCATTCAAAGGACTGGCAGTCCCACATGTACGGCGAAGGTCATAGTTCATAGTTTTTGGGGGGGCGGAGTAGCTCTCTGGGAACCCCCCCAAAAACTATGAACTAAGAATCAGTCAGCTGAATGCAGACTCCTTTGGATGTGTCAGATTTACTTATTTTTGCTAGAGTTAATGTACAGCTTGGGCTTGAAGTAGATCCGAATCTCCTCATCCACGATGGCCAGCTCCTTTTCAATTTCTGCCTTGCGGTTGCGCACCCACAGACTCTGCGAAGTGATGGGCATGTGATTTAACTCGCTGATGAGCCCATCACAGCGCCGCTGTGCGCTGTTCAATTCGCCAACACGTGCATGTTCCGGATCACTTGCATCCTTGTCCAGAGAGCGAGGATGACTGTTGTCGCGTGCTGTTTGAAACACAAAGCTTGATGAGCCATCGAGACGTGGGGGGAACACGTAGATTGTACTCACAGTATTCAATTTCCTGATCATCCTTCATGTTGTGGGGACTCTGCTGTTGCTGTCTGCCATATGTGCCAAGTGACTGTAGATCCTCTTCTTCGCTATAATCATACCGATTGGATCTTTGGTAGTTACTTGCGGACTCACGCTCACCCATCCCGGATGCACCATCAAAACTGCATCTAAAAGAGCAAAAATAATGCCACATTCAGACATCTAGTACTGTCTGGACTTACTTTTCTAGGGAATTTGTGAGGTAGAGCTCATCGCTGATGTCCTCCGTCTGTGTGGCAATGGTTGAGCAGCTGCGCTGTGTGCCACAAGAATTGGAGCTTTCCGACGACTGTGCTGCTACCTCCGAAGGGTCAATACGTTGGCCAGACTCCGCGGCGCCCACTACCAATGGGTGATGCGAACACGACTTCAAACGGTTGCGCGTCAGACTGCTTTCGCGGGTGTTTTGTGTGGACACCGATACAGGGGTCTGGGGTCGGTTGACTGCTTTCGATTCTCTTGCCTCGGAATCCACGCGCTGCATGGCTGGCATCCATTCGGGACGCACTGGCTCCCTGGCTTCCAGCTTCTTAGTTGTAGATTTCTCCAGCGAGCGCAAGCTCTTTTTATTTTCGTCGAGAAAGTTGCGGCTCGGTTGAGGTCGCGGCACTGGAAAAATTCCATTCATCCTGGACGTAGGGCGTGACATGATACCGACGACCGTTTGAGTACCGCGAACTACACTGCGGAAATATTTTGTAGTTTTAGCAAATAAAAAATGAACTGCGTCGTTGAATGTTGAATGTAAGTGAATGAATGATGCTCGAAGTGTGAACGAATATCAATGGCACCCTTTGGTTTAGTTTTTGTTACTTTGTGACTGAATATAAAATATAATTTAAATATATTATAAAATAAAATAATATAAAGCTATTTAATTAATATGCAAAATCTTTGTAAATTGTATAAATTAATTTATTTAATGCCACACATTAATTTTTTCGTATTTTCTGGCTGATTGGCAAGCCGAAATATTAAATTAAATATGTTAACAGATAACAGATAACAGATAATTGTATTTAGCTTTATTCATTATTAGATTTGTTGATTTCCTAAGTAAAATGCCCAGAGACTGGTCAGAAAATGAAGGAGAAAATATGCGCCAATCCTTTGCAGTTATTATTCTATTGAAATCCATGTGAATCCAGCCTTGCAACAGCTGCATCTTGACACTCCCAAACTCGAACCCGTTGCAAAAGTGGAGTGCATAATTAGGATGCTGTTCCGCCCACGGGATATGCAGGACACGCAGCATACGCAGAATAGGCAATGGCCAATAAATGCCTCTGCCATGCCACAGAGGCTGCAGCAAGCAAAGGGGCAGGATCAGCAGCAGCAGCAGCAGCAACCAGTTGCCAATTCATTCAGTGCATATGAATTATGATTCATGGAATCGAATCGGCAGCACTGTTGATGTTTTCGCTATTTTCACAATTTCCCCCCCAAATGGTATGCCATGACTTTTGCTGCAGATTTTTGGAGCTGCTGCTGTGCTCCTTCACGCAAAATGCCAAAGGCCAGCGCCAGTGAAGGGTTCAGTCAACAATTGAGTTGGGTGTGGGTGTGTGGGGGGTCAGTAGCTAGGCACCTGTTGCACGGGCGCAATTCATCGACGGCTGCCAGGGACTTATCCTCGATGGCGGCCCAAGGCCCTACCCTAGCGTACCTAGGTAAATGTTGCAGATACTCGGAACATAGTCTCACATAGTTGCAGTTGCCACGAGGTATTTGCGGCTGTGGATTTGGCATTGGCATTGGCATTGGAAATTTACTTGCCCGTCACTCAATTATTGCAACTCTCTGGCTTGTCTTTTTTTCTTCCGGCTTTATTTGTAGTTGTTGTTGCGGTCTGCTGTTGTTGTTGTTGTTGTATGTTTGTTATTTCTGGCACGGCCTCTGCTCCATTTAATTGAATCGAAAATGCACTCATGGGAAATGCAACAATTTCCGCCAACTAACTTAATTAAACTGCCATTAAAGTTGTCAGAGAAGCCTTGGACCAGGACCAGGACCAGTGCCAGTGCCAGTGTCAGTGCCAGTGCCACTACCAGGGCCATTGTCGCGGTATCCGTTGTCCGTGTCCATCGATAACGATTCAAAGGCCAAAAAATATATAAAAATAGAGAGAGAGACAGATAGAGTGGTGGAGAGGTAAGGAGATGTCCCGGATGACGCGTGGAGGATGCACTTAGCCTTGTCAATAGCCGGATTGGACACTCCTCACTGCCGAAAGGTCAAAAAGGGGAAAGCCGGATGCCCGCTTATTATATTTGCCTAATGGAAAATGCCACACAGGACACGACAGGACACTCCAGCAAAAAGTAGCTGGCAACTAAATCAAACGAAATAAGTTTTGAACAAATTTGTAGATGTTTTTCCTGCGTTAAATCTCTGCAAAAATAAAATATATCCAAGCATTTGCTGCTGGTTCCTGGGTCTCCAATTGAAGGCGCATCAAAGTGCACGAGTTTTGAATGCAATCAAAGAAATTCAATTGAGAAATCCAAATGGGGACCATGCCAACCGATGTGCGAGTACTTATCTTTGGGTCTCTGGCAACTAAGATATGGGAGCCCCCAATGGAAATTTACGTTCAGATATGCTGCAAGCTCTCGGAGACAGTAGTTCTGGCTGCCAGTCCTGCCATTTGCATTTCAGCGACTAATCTGTGTCTCGCTTAGATCTGCCACAGGAATGGTTCATGTTTATTGAGGCACAACAGTGACAGGGGGGGGAGGGGTGGGTGTGGGTGCCATACATAAGAGAGGAAGCTGATAGACGATGTGTCAGCCATCATTTGTCATACGTACGAGTACGAGTGCGAGTCTGTCTGTGTGTCTGTCTGTCTGTGTGTGTGCGCTGAAAGGATGACATGATAAAATGGCCGCTTAGGCACTGTCAGCAGTGCGCCGCCCCCCCCCTCAGCACTCCTACTGCATGTGTGTGTGTGCGATGCTGACTGACAAATGATACAGTGACGAGCAGCAAGGATGTCATGTAAATGTCTTCATTTGAAGCTTTTTTTAGAGCTTTAAATTGGCATTCTAATAGCAGAGTCGTAGGCAGAGTCCCCGCCCCCCACCGGAACCTTTTTGAACTCTCGCAAGCCCCTGGCCAGCCCATATCGATGTCCATCAATCATATGCAAATAAACAATTTAAGCCAGCGCTCGAGCGCTCCTCTAATTGACATTTGAGCAAAAAAAAACAGGCACAGGGACAGCGACAGAGAAATAGAGATTGTCACTTTTTACTCATTACATTAAACGTTTTGTGTGTGTGTGTGTCTGTGTGTGTGAGGGTGTGTTGAATCAACATTCAGTCAATCAATTGACTTGTTAATTGTTTGGCATTGCCTTCAATTTCATTTACAAACTCTAATTACATTGCATCAAATTGTGTGTGTTGTGTGTTGTATTTGTATTTGTGTTTGCGTTTGTTTGGTCACCTCTCCAATAATTGAAATGCTCTTTGATAAATATTTTATACGAAATTATGTCATGCATAGGAGGGGGGCCAAAGGTGGCTGTCAAAAGTTCTGTTTGATGTGCAATTAATCAAATATTTAAGGAGAGAGCGCAGCTAAAGATACTCCCGATAAAGATACTGGTATATGTATATATATGTATGGTGATCAGAGCAACAAATCCTTTGTGTCGATTGTTTCCTCAGCAACTTCTAGTAGTAGCTAATGGTTTTCGCTTTTTAAAATGCCTCAAAATTACCTTGTGAATATATACCATATAAAGTTTTGTGCATAAACGACCTACCTACTCCTTGTGACTGTCTTTCAGTATTTTCCTTTTTTCTTCTCTATATATTGCTTGGGCACAGCTGGAGCATGTCGGTCGGAACTGTGCGCTCCGCAAGTGGGATGGATAGTGTACACATATGTGTGTGTGTGTGCGTTTTATTATTTGCCCAGTCAGTCTGTTCAGTCAACTTGAGTCTAATTATTATTTGCTATTTATTGACTTTGATTTGATTCGATTCGATTTGATTTGATTGATTTATCGCGCTGCTGGTTGCACAGCCACAAAAGTTACAGCAGGTTAAGTGAGCCTAAGAGACCGATAAGAGACCTCTCGGCGACCGGGCCGAGCAGCCCGCCTTAAGTTTTGTATTTTGTTCGCTTTCGATTCGATTGCATTTGGCGATAAGCCATAAGATTGACAATTCATGTGATTGACACACGGCTCTCTCTCTCTCTCTCTCTCCCACTCTCTCTCCCTGCTCTGTTGCTGTCGCTGTCTTCGCTTCGGTATCTGTTTTCCTAAGTTTTTCGTTGTGGTGTTTTTTTTATTTTTTTTTGTATTTCTTCTTTGCCACTTTTCAGTAATGTCGATGTGTGCTGCTGCTGCCTGCTGCTACCGTTTCGATAATGGCTGTGATGGAGTGCCCGCCCCTCCAGACATTTATTGATGACACAACGCAGATACACGCAGCTACTCGCAGCCCGCCGCCGCACTCCCGCGCGTTGAATCTAAATCTGCATGGGTTTTTTTGTTTCCTGCCATTTAATGTTGAAAAGTGAAACTTGAGTTAATTGCTGGCTCATTTCCTTGCCCATCTGCCCGGCCATCTCCCCAGCCATCCACCATCTGGCAGTTTCCATTCTCCACTCATTTGCTCTGGCTCTGGTACTTCCGTTTCCGCTTTATTGACATTGCTAGAGCAAATATTTGGAATGGGACGGCAAGGTGTCGACCGCAAGACACTTGGCCACAGCCACATTAGGCCGCCTCGACTCGTTTGATGCCCATCAACAGAGATCGACAAAAGTAAACCTGTTTCAGTGCTGAATTGGCAATGCAACAAATAATTATCCAAACATTTTCTGCATCAGTTTTAAACCGCCTGAAGATCCCTTTGTGTGTGTGGCAGATCCATCACTAATCACTGCCGCTGGCTATCCCTTAGGCCTGGCATTTGACAAAGAACAAACTGGTGGCGCTGGTTGAGTGTGTTAAGTATTTGGCAAATACACACACAGCCTCAGCCTCACACGGATGCGAGAGGGCAGGTCCACGCGCATTTATCCAAGTGTTGGAGCACACACACACACACACATATATATGTGTATATCCAGTAGGAGGGAACGACCCCACTCAATGGAGATTTGAGGGGTACACTCTTTTACGGTTTCATAATCCGAGAGGGAAACGCTTGAAGTTGTAACTAGACCGCGATATTTCATGGTACCCAGCAACGAGAGCAGCCCCTGGACCACTAGCCACCACCCACCACCCACCTACCCATCCCCCCCTGCATAGTTGTGGGAATGCCCGTACCTTTTCAGGGTTATACAGGACACTACGGAGAGGGGCAAGTAGTAGCTGGGGCTGGCTACATCGGCTTGTCGCCTTTGGAGGAAATGCCATTTGACATTTTTGCCACCGACTTTCCCCCCCTGTTTGCTCTCACACACCACTCCACTCCCCCCCGCTCCACCCGCGCTTTGGGTGTGCTGTGATTTGCCTTTTTGTCACATTAAATCTTGTTTATGACGCTTAAGAACTTTATTTCCGCTCGATTAAATTGCCATAATGGCAGCCTGCGACTGTGACGCCGCTCTACGCTCCCCTTTATTTTACTTGCTCTTTTTTTTTCGTTGTTTGTTCTCACTTTTGAATTGTTTTTACCTTTTTTTTTGCTTGTTTGTTTTTATTTTGTTTTGTTTTGCTCTTTTTGGCATACTTTTCGTCACCTCTGGGGC